TTGGTCCCCTGACTGCGGTACCGGAGAGGTACCTTCCCATGGAGCTATGTCCCAGGCCTCGGTCCCTGACTGCGGTGCCAGAGAGGTACCTTCCCATGGAGCTACGTCCCAGGCCTCGGTCTCGGTTACAATGCTTTGTCAGTACCCCTCAAGCTCTCACTCACCCAGTGACTTGCAATAATTTCTGCACAGTAGTTCATCAGGGTGCTGGCATTTAGTTCCTCTGCCGTCTGGTAAAAGCGAATACAGTTCCTGACATTCACTAGAGACATAACACCCTTCTCACATCTGTAAGAGAGTATTTATGATCAGCAGGATTACCAGACAAATATACTCATAAATGAACAAACCAAAGCAATAATCAGTGTACGTACTGGCTGGCTATGTCCTGTTAATAACACTATGGGGTAAGGTTCAACAAAGTATTATGAATAAATTACAGTTGGTCTCCAAGTTTTAAAAGTACTAGAATTTCATTATGATATTTCATTGCTCAGTTCTGGTCAGAATCCAACTAATATGCAGATGAACTTACTAAGCATAATACCTCAATTGCCTTAACAGTAAGCATGTGACACTCGCTGATCGTATAGACAGGTAGTTGTCAAATCAAGCACAAAATGGACCAACCTCTGTCCTTCAAAGGACATGTAGTTGTATGGAACATGGCTTTAGTTCCCACTAGCACAACTGTGTCATGTGAACGGTGTGAGTCAGAAATAGTTTCAAACACGAGCTCTATGCCTCAGTAACTAACACCTCCTTAAAAGCTCTGTAAGATGAATGTGCATGGTATGTGAATTATAACTCAATAAAGTTGTATTTTAAAAGTCCACCTACAGTATCTATAATGTTTAGAAAAAAACAGACACATCAGCCAGGCATGGTGGCTCATGCCTGTAATCCCAGGACTTTGGGAGGTCGAGGCAGGCAGACTGCTTGAGCTCAGGAATTCAGGACCAGCCTGGCCAACATGGTGAAATCCTGTCTCTACTAAAAACACGAAAACAAACTAGCTGAGTGTGGTGGTGGGCACCTGTAGTCCCAGATACTCGGGAAGCTAAGGCACAAGAATTGCTTGAACCCAGGAGGCAGAGGTTGCAGCGAGCTGAGATCATGCCACTGCACTCCAGCCTGGGCGACAGAGCAAGACTCTGTTTAAAAAAAAAAAATAGAAAAAATAGCCAAATCATAGTACCCCCAACCCAACAAAAAAATCAGATTTCTAGTACAACAATAAAACCACAGTACACCAAAATAGAGAAAAATGGGCTACAATGGATGTCCTCATAAAGTCAGGTAATAACAAAAACAAGATTCTTTCAGAATCATTAAAAGGAAAACATGGCCAGGTGCAGAAGCCCACACCTGTAATCCCAGCACTCTGGGAAGCCAAGGCAGGAGGATTACTTGTTGCCACGAGTTCAAGGCCGGTCTGGGCAACACAGCAAGACCCTTTCTCTACCAAAACAATTAAGAAATTAGCCAGGCATGGTAGCGCGTGCCTGTCGTCCCAGCTACTCAGGAGGCTGAAGTGACAAGATCACTTGAGCCCAGGAGTTCAAGGCTATAGTGAGCCATGATCATACCACTGTACTCCTGCCTAGATGACAGATGGGGACCTTGTCTCAAAAAAAACCACAAAAAACAAAAAACATCAACTACCCATCAGAGAAGAGAGAGCTGAAGGCAGGCAAACAGGTCTCTAGTAGCAAGAGCAGGACCACATCGTAGTCTGGAAGATACAGCATTGGAAAGACCATACTTCCTCTATCCCAGAATTCCTGGAAGCCTTAGAGGGTCTCCTATGACACCAGGTCTATGGGGAAAAGAAGGCCAGGGCATAGTCCTTCAGCTTCCTTGCCTCCACAACTCCCTCCAAATCAGGTTCACCTCCAAGGGCAGCCACAGAGAACTAGTATGGTTTCACGAGATTTCCTGACATCTACCATTGTTTTCCCCACCAACAGCAGCCACCAAAACACAAAAGCAGAATGTGGTGGACAGAGCAAAATAAATAAACAGTGAGCTAAGAAAGACCTAAGTGGAGACCCATTAAATTTTAGGGGCCAAATTACTTGGGCTCTCTGTGCCGTCTCCTCCTCTGTAAAATGAAGATGTTACTCTCCTTCAGATGTTTGAGGAATACTTGGTTGTTTGTCAAGATGGAGGAGAACTAGTTACACTCAGCACAGCTTGAGGTATGTAGTCGATATGCTCGTAAGTTTGAGGGCCCTCTCCTAGCCCGTCTCTCAAGTCTGAAATTCCTTTACTAAGGAAGAAGCATATGATTTTAATAACCCACATTCGTGGACGTCAGTCCTGTTAACAATAACCAGCTAGCAGCTAATTCCCAGTCTTAACGGATGAGCTTCAGGTAACAGAGTAGAAAAGGACTACGGGAGGGGGTGATGGAGGAAGAAAGAAGGAAGGTCACAAGAAAGACCTGGGAAGAATGAAGAACACACTTTCAAAACTCACAAAGGAGAGGCTAGGAGCAAGAACGTAATCTTGGTGTCATTTCTCTATTTAGCAATAAATGCAGGCACCTGCTTTACACTAAGACCTGTCAAAGTTTTGGTATTTTCTGTTGGTGGTGGTTTTTTTTTTTTTGAGCAGACTCTTGCTCTGTCACCCAGGCTGGCGTAAAGTGGCATGATCTCAGCTCACTGCAACTTCCACCTCCTGGGTTCAAGTGATTCTCCTGCTTCAGCTTCCTGAGTAGCTGGGATTACAGGCACGCACAGCCAAGCTCGGCTAATTTTTGTATTTTTAGTAGAGACGAGGTTTCACTACGTTGTCCAGGCTGGGCGCTTTGTTTTTAATTAACATAACTGATTGGTGTAAGGAAGCATCCAGGGCACTTTAAAAATCATGTTGTTATAATATCTAAGTAAGTTATATTAATAAGTTATAATAAACAAGAACGTAAGTACCGTACACAGCATGATATTTCTAAGCCTCAGTTTTCTGTATCATTGGCTTCTCCAAACCTGTAGCACACCATGTCAACATCTGACAAAGTCATTCTAACCTCAGCTATGAAATCAGAGCATTCAGGAGAAAAATCCTCTTTTCAGATATATGAAGCTTTTACCACTTTTACAACTAATATTCAGTCCGCCTTCCTAACATCCTAACAACAGGCAGTCTAATACACAGTGTGATCTCAGGAAGTAATGACTCACATTTGTAGAGCACTTTTACAAAGCAATTTTACAGACAAATGCTGAGAATCTGAAAATTCCATTCTCCTTTTCACTGTCAAATGATATTGTGCCAAGGGACTCAAATATGTTTCAGGAAGACAGCTCTTTTATTAAAGCTGACAGACATTTCACTGTCACCAATTCTAGGATCTCCAGAGTGCCATTTGCCATTTGGATAGATTGTAAATAGTAACTGACATGATTTATGCAACCAATGAACACGTAATCTTATTTAGAAATTCAGATTCTTGGTTCCTATATTCTCTTTAAAAATAGCAAGACAGACTAACTTTCACCCAAAGGGAATTTTTAAATTATTATTTTTAACTTTAGGGTACAGAAGGATATGGATGTACAAAAACAATAAACCTAATTTTAAAAGTATAAAATCAAGCATATATTTAAACATCCCAAAAACTCCTGTCTAGTTTTCACATCACTCTTGAGTGTATGTGGGAAAAAGAAAAATTACTGAAAAGAAAAATGACAGGTGAACAGTGATTTAGTTACAAATGACTTTTTTCTTTACATCATTCTGTATTTTCCAAATATCACACACTGAACATGTATTATAATTTTCTAAGGAGAAAAATATTACCTATCATTTTTTAGTATATACATTAATTCTCTCTTTTTTTAAAAAAATTAGCCAGGCGTGGTGACTCATGCCTCTTAAGACTTTGGGAGGCCGAGGTGGGCAGATCACCTGAAGTTAGGAGTTCAAGACTAGCCTGGCCAACATGGCAAAACCCCGTCTCTACTAAAAATAAAAAAATTGGTTGGGCATAATGGTGGGCGCCTGCAATCCCAGTTACTCAGGAGGCTGAGGCAGGAGAATTGCTTGAACCAGGGGTGGAGGTTGCAGTGAGCCAAGATTGCGCCATTGCCCTCCAGCCTGGGCAACAAGAGTGAAACTTCATCTCAAAAGATAAATAAATAAATGAATAAATAAATAAAATAACCAGGTGCAGTGGTTCACGCCTGTAATTCCAGCACTTTGGGAGGCTGAGGCAGAAGGATCACTCGAGGTCAGGAGTTTGAGACTAGCATGGGTAACATGGTAAAACTCTGCCTCTGATAAAAATACAAAATTAGCCAGGCATGGTGGCAGGTGCCTGTAATCCCAGCTACTCAGGAGGCTGAGGCAGGAGAATCACTTGAACCTGGAGGCGGAAGCTGCAGTGAGCCGAGATGGCACCATTGCACTCCAGCCTGGGTGACACAGTGAGACTCTGTCTCAAAAAAAAAAAAAAAAAAGCAAAAGAGTATTTTCATCAGTGTGTCCTCCACGGTAGAAAAAAAAAGAAAAAAAGTATTTTCCTGATAATTCTTACTATCAAAACTTCCTTTTCATTCAATTGGTGCCGAGATCCCTACATTACCAAAAAAGCAAAGCCTGCCTCACATTGAAGTGCCTGCCTCTGTGGGCACCCTTTCAGTCGCCATCTCAAACATGTCATTCCTTTCAAGGACAGCAGTGGGCACTCTGTGACCCTTTAAAGGCCGACACTTGAATCCACTCCTGGTGTCTTCCACTTCAGCTCTTAATAAAGCCATGACAGATAATAAGCCAATAATCACATCCAACAATATAAAATGAAGCATCTGGTAATGTTGACAGTTATGAAGCCTACTCAGTCAATACACAAGAGTTTAATTAAAGAATCCATTACACACATTACAATGCTCTAAACTACTCCAACCCAAACGTTTATATCAAAGCAACTCAATTTATATAAGCAAGTTTGACAAGGTCAGTAGGAGAAAGCTCAGGAAGTCTGGAAAAAATATAAAGACATAAATCATGCTTGCTCTAATTAAAATCAGTCTCGTTTCACTCTCACCAAAACTCACCAAAACAAATTAACAAACAAATGAAAGCGTTAACTGAATGGCCTCAATAGTAAAGTTAGCTTTGCTAAAAACCTAATACTGTATGCATCTATAGACTGTGGACCTGCTTTTGTTTTTGTTACTGGATTTAGATATTAAAATGCAGGCAAACCCACGTCAATTAACAGACAGGAGTCGGCCGTCTACTGGTTTCATGTGGGGGAACAATGAGTCCTCCCAGGAAAACAGCAACCCCGTGACAAAACAGCGAGCAGCTCTAGGCAGCAAAGTCTCTCTGGGCTCTCTGGGGAAAAACACAGCAACAGCTGGAGTGCCTCTTGATGGCTGAAACCAACTCTTCATTCACCCAGGAGAACAGCCATTCCTTTAGGCACCCAGTGAAATACAAAAGATCACTAAATGCTGTAAAAAGACACTCCGTCATCCAAGCTGATTACCAAGAGCCACATCTCCAGAAGACAGACGCTGTAGGACATACTGTCTGACATTATTTAGTGAACGTTTTGTTTTCTGTTGTTCTAAAATGCCAAGTTGGGAGAGCAACAGAGAAAATGCAACATAAAAACACAGCATGCTACCTCCTTGACAACCTAAAATGCAGTAACTTCACTGAAGTGAGTTCTCTGGAACACTGGCTATCAAACTTATTTGAACAATATTTTCATTTATTAATTTTGGCATTCATTGTTTCCAACGAGACTACGCCTAAGGACTTCATTCAACTAGATATATCAGAAAATAGAGTAAAATGTCAAGGAAAACAGAAAGGGAAGGAAAGCTCCATGTCTGGACACTGGATTACATTATTTCATATTTAATTTTTCAGTTTATAAAATTGTGTAATTTCAGGTAACAGAGCAGTGAAAGAAAACAGCAAAAGCTTTAGCAGAATTTAGCTACAACGCCAAGCAAGGGAGATAACAAATTCTCTCCCCACCATAGCCTTTAAGAGAACACCCTGCAGAAGTTATTTACATTAGCAGAAGCAGCTGTTCTCCCAGAGCTCGGCATAATTAAAGCTCAGCCACCACCATCTGAGGTGCTTGAATATATCTGCTGTGACTTGCCTCTCCCTGAGGAGCTGTAGCTGAAACCGATTTGCTAGTTTCATCAATTCCGTCAGGAACACATCATCCTCTCTGAACTCCAACTCATCCGTATAGATCCAGCGAAGCATTGTCATCGTCACCTCAGGGTTAGCATCTGGTTAAACAAAGCAGAGAGAACAACTGAAAAAGCACTGAATGACATGCTCAGACTTTCTCGAGGGACTCCTAAAATTGGAGGCTAATAAATTACAGTATACCCTACTTAAGGAAATATTACACAGCCATTAAAAATGGTATCTAAGCAGTCTGGGCAGCATCTGACTCTAAAGTTTTGCTGTGAGCAGTGAGTGGGGAAGTGAACCTACTAAACATCTGTTGAATAAATTGGGGAAAATATTTGAAACCTCTGATGAAGAGTTCACATTCTTTTTTTCTATTGAGACAGGGTCTCAGTATGTCCCCCAGGCTGGAATGCAGTGGCACAATCACACCTCACTGAGGCCTTGAACTCCCTGGGCTCAAGTGATCCTTCCACCTCAGCCTCCCGAGTGGCTGGGACGACAGGTGCGCGCTAGCGTGCCAGGTTAATTTTTGTGCTTTTTGTAGAGACAGGGTTTCACCGTATTGCCTGGGCTGGTCTGGAAATCCTGGGCTCAAACAATCCTCCTGCCTTGGCCTCCCAAAGTGCTAGGATTACAGATGTGAGCTGCTTCACCCAGCCGGAGCTCACATTCTTTATAATAAAAATACCTTACAAATAAAAAGACGGACACCCAGTGGAAAAATGGGCAATGGATATAAATAGGTAATTCACAAAGATAAATAATGGCCAATAAACCTTACTGATAACCAAACACAAATTTAAACCAGAGTACGTTTTATCTCTCAGACCAGCAAAGATGTTTTTAAAGAACATAACCTTTTACACAGCAACTACATATGTAGATTATTATCCTCAGACAATAATTGGACAAATACAGAAAAAACGTATGTACTAAGATGCTCAACACAGTATTATTAATAATGAAAAACTAGACAAAAGAGTCCAACAATGGAGAGCTAATTAAATTACAATATACATACACACTGGAAAAATGCAGTTAAAACTATGCAGATATATATTCAACATAAGAGATTTACTACATAGGCTTTTTGAAAAGTTGGCTAAAAATGCTTGTATAAGATCTCATTGGCTTGGTGCAGTGGCTCATGCCTGTCTCAGAGCTTTGGGGGGCCAAGGTGGCGGATGGCTTGAGCCCAGGAATTCAAGACCAGTGCAGGCGATACAGTGAAATCCTGACTTTACCAACATACAAAAATTACACAAAATCTCAGAAATCACCGCCAAAGGACTTAACCATGTAACCAAACACCACCTGTCCCCCCAAACCTACAGAAATAAGAAAAAATTAAGCAAAAAATTCAAAAATTAGCTGGGCACGTATCATTAGTGGTGGCATGTGCCTGTAGTCGCAGCTACTCAGGGGGCCAATGTGGGAAGGTAAACTGAGCCTAGGAAGTTGAGGCAGCACCAAGCCGTGACTGCACCACTGCACTCCAGCATGGGTGACAGAACAAGATCCTGCCGGAAAAAACAAAGAAAAAGGAAAAAAAATAGGTCTTGCTTTTTGTTACATATACTCATGTGTATGCATGCATACATATATATATAAAATACACTACACACTACACACATTGAGAGACAGACACACACATTTTTCTGTGTCCATCTCTCAAGAGATTAGAAGGATACATACTAAAATATCAACCCAGGGATAATTTATAACTAATTTTCCTTTTAGCTTAATTTTACTGTTAGCTTTATTTTTACTTAAGGAACATGAATTACTTGTGCAATCTTTTTAAGTTAAAATAAAGACTGTACAGCAACTTAAGAGAAATGCTTGGGATGAGCATCATAGTACAAAATATCTAAACTATTATTTCATCTAGCGTTAACTCTTGACTAGTCAGAATAAGAAGAGTGATGGTAAGAAGAATACTTAAAATCATGGTCAGCACAAGTAATTCTCAAGGTGTGGTCCTGGGCTAGGAGATTCAGCCTCAATCTGAGAACTTATTAGAAATCTGATTCTTGGCTAGGCGTGGTGGCTTACGGCTATAATCCCAGCACTTTGGGAGGCTGAGGCAGGCAGATCACGAGGTCAAGAGATCAAGGCCATCCTGGCCAACAAGGTGAAACCCCGTCTCTACTAAAAATACCAAAATTTGCCAGGTACAATGCCGTGCACCTGTAATCCCAGCTACTCGGGAGGTTGGGGCAGGAGAACTGCTTGAACCAAGGAGGCGGAGGTTGCAGTGAGCCGGGATAACACCATTGCACTCCAGCCTGGTGACAGAGCAAGACTCCGTCTCAAAAAAAAGGACAAGAAATTCACTCTATGACTCAGATTAAGCAGCCAGTGGCCTAAGGGTAGGCGGAGAACAATGAACAGGAAGGAGGGTATGTGCTACAACTGTGTTCTTTTGGGTAAACTGTCCAGCCTATCCGCTTCCAATCTATGTAAGCAAGTGGTGGCAACAGATAGATGACTGCATAAAACAGGAGTTCACTCTAAAAGGAGTGGCCTCGGAAGAGAAAGGAGTTGGCCTCTGAGTCCCACGTGATGGAGGTAATCATCCCCTCAGAAGGCCCGGCATGCAAGCCAGAAAACTCTGTGACGTCAAGTACAAAAAGCAAAGTAACATTCAAACTTCTGACTCTGTTTCATTGCAGTCCAGGATGCACATAAACATACTTTGGAGACCTTAGGATTTTCTACGTGGCCTAGTTTTTTGTTTTGATTTGAATTTTAAATAAATGTTTTTTGCAAGACATCTGAAATGGATGGGAATAAACTGAGCTGTATGCAATTAACCATTAAATGAAACATACTGAGGTAAATGACTTGTTTTTTACTTTATTTTCTTTATTTTAGGGACAGGGTCACTGTTGCCCAGGCTGGAGTACAATGGTGCAATCACAGCTCACTACAGCCTGAATCTCGAAGGCTCAATCGATTCTCCCACCTGACCCTGCCAAGTAAGTGGGACTATAGACACATACCCCCATGCCTGGCTAATTTTTGTGTTTTTAGTAGAGACAGTTTCGCCATGTTGCCCAGGCTGGCCTTGAACTCTTGGCCTTACGCAATACTCCTGCTTTGGCCTCCCAAAGTGCTGGGATTACAGGCATGAGCCACAGTACCTGGCTGACGTTGTTTTTAAATCCTCTGTTTTTAATCTGTGAAAAGCTGAGAAAGGTGTTCTGAATCTCCTATTATGACTCTGGTTTAATTAAATTCTCTGAGTTTCCAATCATTTTTTTCTTTTTTGGGGGGATGGGGGGGTGGGTCGGAGTCTCCCTCTGTTGCCCAGGCAGTAGCACAATCTCTGCTCACTGCAACCTCCACCTCCCAGCTTCAAGCGATTCCCCTTCCTCCTTTCCAGTAGCTGAGACTACAGGAGCACGTCACCACACCTGGCTAATTTTTGTATTTTTGTAGCGATGAGGGCTGGTCTTGAACTCCTGACCTAAGATGATCTGCCCATCACGGCCTCCCAAAGTGCTGGGATTCTAAACGTGAGCCACCATGCCCAGCCCTTTTTCTTTCTTAATCTACTTCACATAAAAATTTCTGTTTGATAAAATTAAAAAATCTTGGCAGACTGTATCATCTTTATCAATAAAAATCCTCCTCTTTAGTCGGTTTAAGGATGTATCCTTAAATATAACCTCCCGGGAATAAAATTAAACCTCAAACTATATTTCTAAATAATCTCTGGCTCAAAAAGAAATAAAAGAACAGCGGTCCTAGTTCTGTCATGGCAGTAGAACAACTCATCCCAATTTAACTGATTATAGCCAAAAACTCTGGACATGGTACAAAATAACAACCTAAAGACTTGGAAAAGTCCACAAAAGCAGGTGAAGTGATGGGGAGGCAAACTTGAAGCAGCAACCGCAGGGGATGAGTTTCTTTTTTGCTCCTCTCCCACGGCTTTGCCTGACGGTGGACTCCAGTAAAGGAGCAGAACTGCCTCAGTGACCCTGGGGATGGCTAAAAACGCCATCTTTCTGGATGAAAAAGAGAAGAATTCCAGAGTCAAGAGCCAGAGAAGGAGATCTGATAATTCTGTGAATGAACCCACACAAGCCTCAGGCTCACCTCTGAGTTACTCATACATGAAATAGCCCCAACCCGGCTTTAAGAACTGAAGTGATATTTAAATACCTACTCACAGAAGGTGAAACGGAACTTGTAGTCTGGACCTTTAGAAAGTCAACATTTTCCAGAGGTTTATACAGGACCCAGAGTCGACAGAGCATAACAGAACATACCACAATGTCCACAATAAAATCGAAAATTACTTTTTGGCATAGAAAGAACTAGGACAATGTGACTACTTCTCAGGAGAACAGACAATCAACAGATACCAACCCCTAAATGACCCAGAGGTTGGATTTATCCAAGAGTTGAAAACATTAGGTACAACTATGCTCCAGGAGTTAAAGGAAAATACACTTGATATGCAAAGATGAACACTTCAGTAGATAAACTATAAAAAAGAACAAAGGAAATTATAAAACAGAAAAAATTAATATATGCAGTAAAACTCACTCAAGACTCCAGGGCAGAATAAAAATGGCAGGAGACAAAGTCAGTGAACAGCTAGGTCAACAGAAATTACCCAATCTGAAGAGAGAGAAAAAAGATAGAGACTCAAGGAGACCCACGAGATAGTAATGAAAAGTCTACTACATGAGCCATTTGAGCGTCACAGGGAGAGATGAAAGAGATTAGAGAAGAAAAATATCAAAAATCTTCCTAATTTGGCAAAGGATATATGTTTACAGATTCAAGAAGATTAGTGAACTCCAAACAAGAAGAAAATCATATCCAGACACATCATAATCAAGCTGCTGAAAACTAACCATAAAGAAAAAGCCCTGGCCAGGCGCGGTGGCTCACGCCTGTAATCCCAGCACTTTGGGAGGCCAAGGTGGGTGGATCACCTGAAGTCAGGAGTTCAAGACCAGCCTGACCAAAATGGCAAAACCCTGTCTCCACTAAAAATACAAAATTAGCCAGGCGTGGTGGTGGCTGCCTGTAATCACAGCTACTCAGGAGGCTGAGGCAGGAGAATGACTTG